TCCGACGGCGACGTCCACCCATTGGGGTTTCCCGCACTGACCGAGCCCCCCCCGGGTTACGCGGTCCAGAGGTCCCATGGTACAATTCTTACAGATCTTAGCCGAGAAAAACCACAACGCTGTCGGTCCCTTCATTCTTCCTCTCTCTTGGTGACCCTCATCCTTTCTTATTTGTCTTTTCCTCTGTCCATATCACCCTTTGCTTCACCCCCGCGGCCTTTATATCCGCTGGAACGGACTTTTTGGCGTTGGCATCGGGCTCGCGTGCTGCCATTGCACTCAAACAATATACTTCGGGAACCAGGCTTGAAACCGTCACTATGACCACGATCTAAAACCCAAATCACGAGTTGTCCTTGCGCGAGTTTGCGCCCATCAATAGAACCTCATTTTAGTTGACTGTTCACGTTTTACATTTTCGGAGGTATTTTTTGATAATTCGATAGTGTTCGGAAGGAATTCAGAACACCGGCTGGACTGAAGAGGCTCTGGTATTTTTATACACCAGCTACACCATGGCTGCTACATGTACCGACAGGATTACTCCTGTATCTGGAGTAGCCTCCCCGGTGAGTCCAGCCTCCTCAACAGGTCAGATACCCTTGGATCAACCTCCGAAACTTAAAGGGCGACATAAACTGTTGCAAAGCCTCCAACGCATCTCATCGAGCCCCAGTCTGAAACGGGGCCGCGCCCATTCTACTGGCTATCGCCGAGATGGAAAAGCTTCATTGTCCTGTATCTCGCTGGGACATTCGGCATACACTCCTTGTCTCGGTAACGGAAGCTCGTCACAACTCTATGGTGGATTGAATGTGCGCCCAATGACTTCTGGCCAGGCTGGCCCAGCAGAAGAACATGAGGGGAATGTTCGAATACGCCTTGTTGGGTCCGACTCACCAAATGCCGCTCAATCAATATCAGTCCCCCTGCCAACTGAGCTGAGACCAGGGTCCCTTGGGTCGCCGCTAGGTAGTACCGATGTGATCCAGGAAACCGCTGTCATTCAGCCCGCACCGAAACCCAAGAAGGCCTTTGACTTCTGGGGAAGCATGCCCGGAGAGCTCAGAATGCTAATTTTTAGCTATCTGACTCCCAGGGAAATTGTCCGCTGCTCTGTCGTCTCCAAAACCTGGAACAAGATGTGCTTTGATGGGCAGTTGTGGTCTGCAATTGACACAACAGATTACTATCGCGATATTCCTAGTGATGGTCTCGTGAAGATCATCGCATCCGGCGGTCCATTCGTCCGGGATCTTAACCTCCGTGGTTGCGTTCAGTTACGAGACAAATGGAAGTCCGAAGGCAAGCGCATCACCGACCTGTGCCGGAACGTTGTTAATTTCTCCCTGGAGGGATGCCGCATTGATAAGACGTCCATGCACTACTTCCTTCTACGAAATCCTCGTTTGGAGTACATCAATGTCTCGGGGTTGAGCAGTGTAACGAATTCGGCCATGAAAATCATCGCTCAGTCATGTCCACAGCTTGAGATTCTGAATGTATCATGGTGCTCGGGCGTGAATACAAATGGGTTGAAGAGAATCATCAAGGAATGCCCGAAGTTGAAAGACCTTGGGGCCAGCGAAATTCGCGGTTTTGACGATGAGGAGTTTGCGCTGGAATTATTCAAACGAAATACCTTGGAACGCCTGATTATCAGTCGCACCGATATTACTGATGAGTGTTTAAAGATTCTCGTGCATGGTGTTGATCCCGAAATGGATGTGCTTCTCGACCGACCCATTGTCCCTCCTCGGCGATTGAAACACCTGGACCTGCACCAATGTACTGAGCTGACGGATAATGGAGTGAAGAGTCTCGCCTACAATGTTCCCTACCTCGAGGGCCTGCAGCTTTCCCAGTGCCCCGAGCTTAGTGACGACTCTGTTATCGCTGTTATCCGTACCACGCCTCGCATAACCCATCTCGAGATTGAGGACATAGAAAGGCTCACCAACAGCACCCTCCTAGAAATTGCAAAGGCGCCATGCGCCGAACACCTCGAACACCTCAATATTAGTTACTGTGAAGCCCTCGGTGACCCTGGTATGCTTCAAGTTATGAAGAACTGTCACTCTCTCCGCTCTGTTGAGATGGATAACACTCGAGTTTCCGACCTTACTTTGATGGAAGCTAGCTACCGTGTCCGCAGGAGAGGCTACAGTGAAGACCTACCTAGTGTTGGCTTGCGCTTGGTTGTCTTCGACTGCGCCAACGTTACTTGGGCTGGTGTAAAAGAGGTTCTTTCAAGCAATGCCTATGTCCCACGTTCTCGCAAGTCGCTACAAGCTACACCAGCTATATCGGTTGTAGCGCAGACCGTCATACCGAACGAATCAACAGATACGAAGACAATGATTACATCCTCTATCACGCCCCCACCACAGCCTTCGGTATACCCCAACGAGATCATTCAGCTCAAGTGTTTCTATGGCTGGCAGATGACCGTGAACGAGCATAACAAGCGAGTCTTGAGAGGAGATCTTGCTGCCGCAAACCGTTTAGATCGGAAATGGGCTGATTACATGATGGCCACAGAAGAAGCAGGCGCAGCAGGTGCAGGTGCTAGAAGAAGACGTCGTCGGGCCCGTGAAGCCGAGAGAATCTACAATGCAGACGACGAAGGTGATGACACCTATGGTGTCGGGGGCGTCTCCGCCCTTGGGGGAAGACGCAGGAGAGCACACAGTGGTAGTTCCTGTCTTGTCATGTGAGAAAGTCATTCTTTACTTTTCTTCTTTTCTTCAGTTCACTTTGAACACAAAGGATCTACAGACATGCTTGTGAAGATGTTTCTGTGTGTGAAAACCTACTCCTTCCAATTACGGGGTTCTGGAAACCTTGTTGAAGGTGTCTACCATCGTGCTTTTCAACTAAAAATTGGCAGCCGAGCAATGCTGGCCATGTGGTGAACTGAATTGCATATCTCCGGCACAGAGTATGCTATGAGACATGAATTGATGAATCTGTGTGAGCAGTTGGATAAGTATGCTTATCTACGCTGAAAGTTTAGCCCATAGCGAACTTGTTTCGTACTGGCTTTCTCTCTCCCGCACCGGCCCTATGGCATCCACACAACCATACTTTTTGACTGGCTTGGTGTACGATTGAAGTCTGGACATATTTGACGTCCTGATAGCAATCACCTCAGTTTTTTGGAATATCTATTTCTTGGTCTATTCATTAGAAAGGGACGGAGAGATCTGGAGTCTGTTGTTTAGGTTAGGGTTGATTTTAGCGGTCACTTAGATTCGAAACTTTTCTTATGAAGATCTTACTTTTATAATCATGTCCTCAATTGTGATAGCGTAACTGCACTAGGTACATACAATGGACTGAGCAGGTTAGAGGCCCAGTCTTGATGTTGGGTATCGCATACGACGTAGAAAAGATGCTTTTTGAAAGACAGCTTGAAGGATGTTAAAGACGAATAACCGACATGGACCAACTCCTGAAAATGCACAATACTTGATACACCGTTTCCTCTCCATGGCGATTACATCTCAAAGAAACCCCCATCGCTCTCATCGCCATTATCATCAGGTGAGGCCTGGCGTGCCCGGAAATGGCCACTATCGTTCTTAGAAGCAGATCCTCTCGAGTCCTTCCCTTTCCTGTCCTCTCTTCTTTGCGGCTTGACGCTAGTCTTTGTGGTGTCCTTGTGCTGCGCAGAATCACGAGCACTGGTCTTCTTCTTCTCCAAGTTGGCCTTTTTCGTTGTTTCAGCACCGAGTTCTCCGTTCTTCAACTTTCCGTCGCGCAGAAGTTCGAGGGTTCCGTCCTTCATACACTTCTCCACGGTGTGCCACATAGCAGGCTTATCAGCAGCATTCGCATGAACAAGCATATATTTTGCATCGCCGTCTTCATCATCATCTCCATCCTTCGCCTGATCCTTCTTCTTCTTCGCATCAGCGTACAGGGCGACGTATCTCTCCGCTAGAGGGTAGTAGATGGTGTAGTTTAAATTGACACGAGCGACTTGGAGCTTTTGCGCAAGAGCGGCGAGTTTCTCTTCTTTGGTTGCGGAGTCTAGATCAGAGCCTGTGACCTCCTTTTCGCGACGTTCGAGGCGCTTGACGTCTTTTGAGGCGGTTTTGCGATCTGTCATTTGGTGGAAAGATTAGTTATAACTACGAAACGCGCAGCATCGTGACCCTAGGCGCAACATACCCAAGAACCGAACAAAGTGGTATTTCTTAATCATCTTCGACCGCTCCCGTCTGTTCTCTTCCTCCTCCAGATCATTCTCATATCCAGCGAGGGCACGCTCCTGCACAATGCGTGCATCTGCTGGGAGATCCACCCGGTTCAACAGACGTTTGACATCGCGAATGCGCTTCTTCAATTCGTTAATGGAAGGGTACTGGTGTTCCTTCTTGGGCAGCTGAACTTTCTTCCTAGAGTACTGGTGCGATGCCTCGTCGGAATTGTGTTTGCGTTTAGGAGGGTCACTACGGTCCCGGTAATGCCTGTCACCGGAGGATCGGGCGACGGGCGACTGTGATCTTGAGTACTCTCGGGGCATTATGGGCGGTTGAGAGTGAACTTTGTTTCTTTTCTTGTTGTCCCAGCACAGTTGGACTCCGGAGAGAAAATGATGAAACTACAGAAAAATACCGGCGGATCATCCGTCGGCCCGAGTAATCTTTCAGATTCCGACAGTAGCCAATCAGGGCTGGGGTGTGTTTAATGACGCGCCTAGCTTGTACCGTACGCATTTAACCCAGGGACTGCGGATCGAATTGAAGGTTTCATACTCGTCAGAGGCTGTGCGCCGGAACTCGAATCCACTTTGCCCGTTGACATTGCATTTCGCAATTGTCGCTATGCAGCCCGGTGCTTGACTTACCAGTTGCACAAGCTGGTAAGAGCATGGGTCACTGCTGGGCGCTGCAGATAGGTACTTCCCGCTTAGATTAGGTAGGCGACGAGTCGGCTGGTCGTGTCGAACACAAAAGACGAACCAAACCACAAAACAAGAAATAGGAAAAGAGATGGAGACCGCCATTCGCTGGTCGCCATCGTCGACCACGGCGGAACAGCGCTTTCTCTCGGTGGATGTGGTAGGAAAGGCATTCCGCCTGTGCAAGGTGACGTCCTTCGACGGCCAGAACCTAGACCATGAGGTGCTTGCTGCTCACACCAAGGTTCCGGCATTCCGGGCCTTCGACTGGTCGCCCGCTGATGAATCGCTCGTCGCTGTCGGCCAGTCGTCCGGAGACGCCACTATTCTGCGCTTGAGCAGCGAGTCCCAGGAGTCGTTCTCGTTTCCAATTCGTCACCAGCGGTATTGTAACGCTGTCGCATTCAGCACGCATGGATTACTGGCTGCTGGCCTGGATCGCGTGCGGAATGACTTTTGCCTCAATGTCTGGGATGTCAATCAGCGGCTCGCTATGAGAGGGGGGAAGGGGGTTGTGGAGCCACTGAGGAAGCTGGCGAGTTCGGAACCGATCACCAGTGTGAAGTTCTTCAGGGATCAACCTGACACATTAGTGGCGGGTGTGAAGGGGCAGTATGTCAGAATTTATGATCTTCGAGGTGGGTTTGTTGTTTCCTACTCTACGTGCCGCTGTTGTCTAATCGGTTTGCACAGAGGGCCCTGGCAATCCGTCGCTACAGTTTCCGACTCGGTGTGTCCATGCTCTAGCGATTGACTGGCTGGATGAGAACTATATTGCATCGTGTCTTACCTCTAATGATCCTACTATCAGTATCTGGGATCGACGTGTAGGGTCTCGATATACAACCCCTGGTGTAGGCCCAGCAAATACTCTTGAGACCGGACAGCCGGGACCTGCGCTTGAGTTCAAGAATGTTGTCGCTCCGAAGTCAACCATCTGGAGTCTGCGATTCTCGAGGACGAAGAGGGGGTGTCTAGGAGTCTTGCGAATACCGGCCACTTCAAAACTTACGATGTTGTCAAAGAATACTTATCCGAGGAGTATCGCTCGTCAGTGGATGAGACCTTGGGTCAAGGATCTTCGAAGAACTATCCAGAGCAGATATACACCAAGTATGTGCGGGATGTTTCCAGTCCATTCAATCATCCATCACGGGGCTATCCGGAATCGGAAAGGATCGTATCTTTCGATTTCCTTAATATGAGTCCTTCCAATGAACCTACTGCCTTGACGCTGTCGGCCAATGGCCAGGTCAACATCATTACAACAAAACCACCGTCACCTCCTGTGCGACTCTCCTCCCAAGGCTTGTTGATACGCGGGACATCTGGCGACGATGCAGATTTCCGAACGATAGGCCCTATGCCTAGTCAAGGGCTGTGCGTCTCTGAGGTGGTTGAAGACCTCCGTGGACGTATTCTACCAAGCCATGATGTTCCAGAAGTATCGCGTGAAAGTCATCCCCCAAAGCCATTATCTAGCCGTGAGGCTCGGGAACGTGCTCTATCTCTAGGAACGTCCGGCCATCTGATTACAGCCGAGGAGGCTTTGACCCTATTGACCATCAACAGACTTCGTTGTAAAGAAGGATATCTATTTGATGCAGCCCAAAACCGGAAGATACTAGCCGATGATCCTCGCCTACAAGGCTTCTGGGGTTGGATCCAACGTGAGTTGAATATTGAATACTATGACACACATATACTAATATTCTAAAAGGCGCGCGCAATGACTCGTCTAATGACTCAATGGTTGCAAACGGCCTGGATCTGAATTATGTGGGAGTGTATGACATTTGGAACAATGATCTAGGTGTGTATTACTTCTGCCCAGGATGTGGGTTGTTTCCCCACAGTACATAACTGACGTGCTGCAGGCGAAACCTTGGACACTCGGCACCTCGAACCCGATGCCAGACCTGATATCAGTAAGGTCATCGTCAATCTGGTTCGAGAACAACTGAATCTCCCGGAGACCAGGGGCTGTGAGACAGATTATCCAGAGCATCGCAGGCTTTGTCTCCGACTCTGCGGCGCAGCTCAGACTCACCGTGAATTGGAAGAACTCATCAAAACATTGTCAGCCGACAGTCAGCATACTAAAGCAGCAGCTCTAGCTGTCTTCCAGGATGAGGCTAAATTGGCCTACTTAGCGTTACGAAGCCACCAGCCCACTCAAGCACATAAGCTGCTTGCCATGGCCATTGCCGGTGCGGCGAAAGGTGACACTGACCCGGATTGGGAGGACACCTGCGCGGAGATTGCCAAGGAGCTCACAGATCCATATGCACGAGCGATCTTGGCACTTGTGAGCAAAGGGGACTGGAACTCTGTCATCCAGGAAACCACGCTTCCATTAAAGTATCGAATTGAGGTTGCTGTGCGTTGGCTGCCCGACGACGAGCTGACCGAGTATTTAAACGAAATGACTGCCGAGGCCATCCTTCAGGGAGATATTGAAGGCATCGTGCTGACAGGGCTGGGGCCTTCCGCTATGGACCTTTTTCAATCATACATCAGGAAATTCAACGATGTGCAAACACCGGTCCTTGCCATGAGCCACGCCGTCCCACGATTCATTAATAACAACCCGAATAGGGCACGCTTTGAAGCATGGCGCGAAACGTACCGTTGGCAGATTAATTCCTGGAAGCTACAGCTGGAACGGGCACGGTTCGATGTCGGCTCTCGAAAATTCGCCGTCACCTGGGACGGGAGAAAATTGATTGAGCCACCGCGACAACAAGTCAGTCTGACTTGCAATTACTGTACGCGGCCACTTACCCAACACGATGCCTCTTCTCAGCTTTCACCCTCTACCACGGGCGAGGTTGTCCACCCCACGGCTGGGAATCCCCTGGGCACGTCGGCAATGTCTGGAATGGTTTGTCCACGCTGCGGTCGGCACATGCCCCGATGTGGCGTCTGTACCTTTTGGCTGGGATCCCCAGACCCGATGTCGAAAGCGTGCCTCGCCGCTGACGCTGGACAACAGGCCGGAAAACCTACCCAAGCGGAGATGATGCGACGATTCATCGTATTCTGTATCAACTGTAACCATGGATTCCATGCGCACCATGCCCAAGAGTGGTTCATGAAGCATAGGGTTTGCCCGGTTGCGGAATGCAATTGTATCTGTGATCGGTGAAGTGCTGATCTTACCTCTCAATTTTCCATTATTTTTAACTCTGGGGCATGGGCTACGGTGGAGGAAGGCTTTGACGTTGTTTCTGATTATACCCATTATGTAGAGAATTGATGTTGATCATTTTATAACCATAGTGAGCAATAGGTTCTACTGCTAAATCTAGAATAATAACCTAATTTAAGATGAAATGTATAGATTGGGAATTCTGCCTGGATGCCCCACTCCTAAGGTTGATCGCCCGCAGATGATGTCAGAAAGAAAAATAGGAAACACGGAATTTCTTCTAGAACGACTCTCACACTGCATATTGTACATGACTCACAAAGACTCATTCGCAACGATTGAGTAAATACAATTCCCGTGAGTCATGTATCCAATCATTACCCCTCAAATACGTTTCCAATAAGACTAACCCTCCGCACCCTAGAAACTAGCGTGCAGAATAAAATAAACAGCAGCCCACAATTAAACCCCTCCGACACCATCTCCAACGTCTATCTGCCTGGCCAAAGATCATGGGCCAACAACACAGAGGCAAGCCCCACGGGGGCCGCGACGTAACCGTCTCCAAAGCCCTAAGTCTCCTGCTCCGACACGCCGCCGAAAAAGAAGGCCTGAAGCTGGACGCGCAAGGCTACGCGAACGTCGCAGACGTGGTATGT